CTGTACACCCCCCCCCCCAAAAAAAGAAAAAAAGAAACCTACTTGCCAGTCACCGAAAACACTGTTCCTATTCTTTTAATCTGAATTCTATTCCTTATCCATTTCTTGAACCCAATATTTGAAACTCAACAAATATACATGTCCCTGAACTTATCTCCTGTCTGTATTCTCCTGCAAAGCTTTGGCCTCTTAAAACTGACTGGCAAACCTACTCACTATGCCTGGCTCTCTTCCTGTGCTCACTTTCAGTTTTGGCCTTCAAACAAAGCTCAGTGTGTCTTTTGGATGCCAAATATTATCAGTTGGATCCGGAATGTCCCCCAAAGGCTCATCGGTTGGGGGCTTGGTCCCCAGTGCAACAGTGTTCAGAGGTGGGGCTCTTGGAAAGTGACTGGATCACAAGTGCTCTGGCCTTGTTGGTGGTGGATTAATCTATTGATGGAGTAATAATTTAATGTCATTACTGGTAGATGATAGAAACCCTAGAAGGTGAGACCTAGTTTGAGGAAGTAAATCACTGAGGGCATGGATATTTCTTATCTCTGACCCCCTCCACTCTCTCTTCCTCCACCATGCCTTTCTGCCATGATGATGCTATGTCTCACCTCAGGCCCAAAGCAATGAAGTTGGTTGACCATGGGCTAAAACCATGAGCCAAAATAAATCTTTCTTCCTTTAAGTTGTTTATCTCAGGTGTTTCGTCAGAACAATGAAAAGCTAACACACCAAATCTCTTGGATCGTTCAGTTTGATGTTAGCTTCTGATCATTGCTCTGTTTGCAGGAGTCAATAACCACACATCTGTTTCCTTAGAAACTGACCCTCCAGCCCAACTCCCATGCCATGTTTGGGATTACAAGAACAGATTATGGAACAGGTATTTTCTTTTTGAAAAACTTTTCACTTCATAAACTTATTTGCAGCATATTCCTTCTAATAATAATATGACTATTTAGGTGTGTCCGGGGCTCTGACATAGGTACTTTATATGGAGTGTCTTGCTGTATTCTCACAATATCTCAAAAAGTCATGAAATATAGTTATCCCCATTTTAACTTGACTCAGCTAGGGCAAAGAGGTTAAGTAACTTGCCCAAGGTCACCAGCTAGTCGGTGGTGGAGCCAGAGCTGGAACCCATGCAGTCTGACAGGAAGCCTGATTTATTGGTGTGTTTTATAACACATCTCTAGGAAGTCATGTGTACTTATGTCAGAAATTTTACCCTGAGAAATCATGGCTTGCTTTACAAAGTGAATCCTTACTTAGTCTTGACTGTAATGTTCCACAGTCACTGCTTGCTGTGTCATTCAGTCTCAAAGTTCCTCTGCCCCTTTCAATCCAGGATTGAGTTGTTTTGTTGAATATAAAAAGCTTGCAGTTGATCTAAATGACAATTTTTAAAAAATCAAATATATAAATTTTTTCAAAGTAAGTTATTTCCTATGCTTATAACACTTTTATATCTATTTGATCTTTTACCATAATAACCTTTGTTGATTACTTATACACCACCTTTTGAAATTTATCTGACTTCTAAAAACATGTAATTTTTAAATATAACTCCATAACAAAACCCCTTACAAAGTAAAAAAAGAACCCCAACCCTTGTTCCCCATCCGACAATTTCCACCCCTGTAACTGGTAACCACAATGACATTTTGTTTATCCTTCCAGAAATATCTGTACATATATATGTGCCAATTCATATATTTATTCTTCTCTTTTTCTTCTATAAATTGTAGACTACTATCCATACTTGCTGCTTTTCACTTCACATGTTTCTTTATATGCTAATTTTTACACTAATCTTAATATTATTTGAGTTACAGAATGACATTTGAAAGGATTCATGGAGCTACTAGCATGCTTAAAAATTTTCAAAGTCAGCATGAGAACTTGGAGAAATATGATGTGATACCATAAAATGCTTACTATAATTTAGTGATTATCAGTGGATCTTAAATACTCGTATGTATAAAAATCAGCTAGACAACCCTATTCAAAATATAGCACGTCAGGGCCTCACCCCTAGCAATTACTTCAATAAGAATGGAGTTAGTCTAATCCGAGGATTATGCTTTGAGACACACTTATTAGAATGAAAGTATCTGTAGGTCATGGAGGAAAGGAGAGACCTTGAGAGAAAAGCAGAAGGGGAAAGGCAAAGGGAAATTGCTGCCTCCTTGAAAAATGATGAAATCATGGTACCACTCAACACTCAAAAATGACACTTTCATACATCTATAAAACTCTTGATTTGTACACATTTTTTTCCTAAAAGGAAAAAAATCTTTATATTAAACTGAAATTGTCTTCTTATGACCATTTAAAAACCTTCAGTGTAGGGGCTGGGGTTGTGGCTCAGGGGTAGAGCACTCGCCTAGTATACGTGAGGCACTGGGTTCAATCCTCAGCACCACATAAAAATAAAACAAAGGGATTTTGTCCACCTACAACTAAAAAATAAATGTTTTTTTTTTTTAAAAAAAAAACCTTTCAGTGTAAGTAAGTAGAATTAATCAATCGTGTGATAATAGTGCTGATCATAAAAACAGGCATGAAAAGTATAGAGGGAAAGTCTGATGTTATTTTGAGACCGGATCCCTGGCTGTCTTCTTTCTAAGGATCTACCCATTTGGGTAACAACCCATTTTTTTCTGAAAATTATACATACAGATGTGGGAAGATAACAATATATTGGCTTGAGCTTTGGAAGCTTCTGACATTTATATTTAAACAATGTAGTCTTAGTTAAAACTATATTTCTTTCAGCATTTTTTAAGATTGCCCTGCTGAGAGTAACCTTATTCCATATATGTAAGTGCCACCAGAAAGAGCAATACATGATATACAGACCTTTAACACATTATATTCTGCTTCCTCCCCTGTAATTATGTCGATTTTCTCCAGCAAGTATTTTCGAGATGGTTGGGAAGAGAAAGCAGCAGCAGATTCAATTAGGGATGCATTGTTAATAGAGTCTGTTCCTGAGAGAAAACATGAGGGGAAAACCACATAGAGGTCCCATTTCCTCTCTAGTGAAGGTTATTTGTTGCTCCTATTAATGCACATATCTCCTTATATTAAAAATAAAAAATCAAACTGCTTGAGTTTCTCCTTATTGACTCCCCCATAACAATAAGTCAAACCATTTTCTAAAGCTCATGTGTTTTAATCTTTACCAAAAAATTAAATATTGGATTATTGGTTTTTTAAAAAATATATAGCTATCAAATAAGTGACATAGAAAACAAGAGACAAAGTAATTATATGTTTAATTCTTACTTGAATTTGGAGAGTTGATAGGGAGTTTCAGAATGGATTTGAATGTGTTTTGGTTGGCATTTGAATCATTTTCCAGTTGAGGCTGGGTTCGTTTTTGAGTTCCCTAGGTAGGTAAAAAGATGCATTATTTAATGTTATCCCTACATATTTGCAATTTACAAGTATATTAGCAAGTGTCTTCTTAGAAAAGATGTTTTGTTGTTCTATTTCCCACACAATCCCAGTGGCTGTGTTTTGGTTCTAGTATTCCTGTTGGAGGAACCGGGAGCTCTACGCTTTTGTTTCAGGCCTTAGTTCTGATCCTCAAAAAAACATAATCTAGTCACCACCAGCCTCCTTCAGACTGGATCTAGCCTCAGGAACAATGGGGAAAAGTTCTAGTGGAGCCAAAAAAGATAGCAACTCCCAGGAAGTGCAGCTATCCTCTATATTTCAAGGTAGTTCAGCATTCCCAGAAATTCACTCTTTTTTTTTTTAATATTTCTTTAGTTGCAGTTGAACACATATCTTCATTTATTTTTATGTGAGAATTGAACCCAGTACTTCACACATGAGGCGAGCGCTCTACCACTGAGCTACAGCCCCAGCCCCAGAAATTTACTCTTATTAGGCACTTAATTAAAAAAATAAAAATAAAAAAGTTGTTCAGAGACTGCACTAGATGTCTTAAAAAACAACTTTATAGAAACAATCAGAACTTTTTCTCTAACAATATTTGGCACAGTCACATTTGAGACTGCATATCTGGGGCTCTGTACATATGATTTAATCAAAGCCTGCATAAGAAAGAACACCATGCTACTACAACCATGTAAAGCCCCCTGCAGAACAGGAAAAGTTGGAACGATGGTACTTAAGAGCTCACATTCATATCTTTTCTTTTATGAACTCAAGATTCTTTCACATGATTTAATTAGACATCGAGATAGTTCCTTAAAATTGGTAGAGACTGGCAGAACTCTTTTCATTTTTAAGAAAATGGAAACTCTGAGTATGAAAGTTTAATGATTCTCTTTAAAAATCATGTGGTCAGCCAACAAGCCAGGAGTGCATCCTGGCCCCCCAAAACCACAGGCTTTCGAGACTAATTAGAGGAAACTGACACCACACATTATCTCTGTAGGTCCCATTATCCTTAGGACACTACTAAATGAAAGAGATATGAAGCTCAGGTCCTTTTATAAGACAAATTTCAAATTCCCATAAGAATGTGCACAAGTGTTTTCTCAAAACAAACCTCTGTGGTTCCAACGGTTGTTTGTATAGATACCTGTCTGTCTCCTCTTACCAGATCCTAAGTCCCTCTGGGGTACATGACTCTTTTGGCTTTACATAACCACTTGGACACTTTTCAAACCTAGTTGTACATTAGAATCACTTGACACCTTGCCTCACCCACAGAGATGCTGACCTAACTGGTCTGGGGTGAGGCCCAGGTATAAGAAATCCTTTAAAAGCTCACCAGATGGTTCTAATATGCAGCCAAACTTGAGATTAACACTTCATATACCTAGGAACTCAATCCATGACTGATAAATTGAATTGAATGTTTAAGCTGATCCTGTGAAGATTAGAAGACATCTTAATTGTGCCTGACAGCTCACAGAAGCTGTAACTAATCTAGTGTCAAACTTAGAAATAAATAATACGGAACAAATGTGCCTAAATATATCTCATGGAACTTCACCCTGGAGCTTGGTACATTTTGATTCAGATCCAAAGATGTGGGTCAGCAGCTCTAGGGCTGGTAGAGTTGACTTTCTTGGGAGTAACAGAAGGGTGTTTTTCAACTAAAAAGTTATGATACAACTATTAGACTTGAGGAGTAAACTGAGACAGGTCTAGAATAATCAAGGTCTTAAAAATGAAAGATCTGTGAAAGTCCTAAAAATCTTGGAATAGACTGGCATTGTGAGTTTGCCCTTTTAGTAATCTGAGCCTTTACACAAATTTTAAAGTCTCTGCAACTTCCTTAGGATTTTTGATGTAACCAGTGACCCTAAGACAAGCTCACTTCCCTAGGTCTATTGCAGACTTGCTCCTGGTCTGGATGAAAGCGGGAAAAGGCATGAAGGTGTGAAGGGCCACATGAAACCACAGGCACAGTTGCTCCACAGTCTCCCCTTCACTGTACAATTCCCTACTGCAGATTATGCTGTCTTAGAAATCAGCTCTGTGGAGAGCCAAGCAGCAGCTGCTGCATGCAGGGGGATGTTCAGTATTAAATAAGGATGAAAGTAATAATAGTCAGGGATTTTCACTTTGTAACATATTCCCCTAGGCAAGGAAAGACTGATATTCCTCATAAACCTATCAAAAATGTTGTAATAATGCTTTTTGATGTAAGAGCTTGAAGAGTAGAGTTGTGATTAACTAATAAGAATATACTGTAAAGTGATTTTTAAATGCATCTTGTTATAAAAATGCTATTAAAAACTACATTAAAATATCATTACCAGTTAAGCTAATCTAGCTATTACAGATAATTCTGAGATTTCCTTGGGCACATTTGGTGTAATACAAGTCAAAGAACTGTTTAATATCTCACATCAGTAATAATGTTATAATTATGCAGTTCCCTTACTCTGTGGGTTCCTGTCTAGCATTCTAACTAGGACATGCTTCCCAAGAGAATCTTTTCAGTCAAAATAAGAAAATGTGCCTTTGAACCCGGGAGATAAAAAGTATGCTCCAATTTAACATTACTTTTAATTAATTTGTCTTCAGAAATTTGAAGTGACATCTCTCTCTATGGTAATAGAAATATATACCAAATTCTTACCAAAACTCTCTCCACCATGTTTTCTCCGAAGACAAACTCTAAACTGCAGCTTTTAAAAGAAAATTTTCCATTTGGTTGACATCTAAGAAAAATAAATAAGTGTTTTCTCTTTTAAATATGTGAATAAGAGCATTTCATACCTTAGCCAGCAAAATAATTCAATGATTTAATGAATTTAAATAAAGCATTAATATTTCCCACTAACTTTTTTATCTGAAGTTAATGAGAAACTACAGAAACATTGAGGTATGTACTTTTATATGTGGTTTTCAAAATATCCACCAGCTGCTACTTCATTGGTGCCCACCCATACAAACAATCTCGTGTTCTCCCTGCACTAGCTGAGAGATCAGCCAGGAGGGACCGTTTTGCTTTCCCTGCCCTATCTCTCCAATCTCTAATCTGCATTCTTCTCTTCCCCAATGGCCAATGATGTTTTTAGCAGAGATCATCAGGGCAAAAGCAAAGCTGATCTATCCTGTCCATTACACTTGAGCATGCATTGTTTTAATTTTTTAACCTCCCAGATTTTTTTTTTCTTAAAGTTAAAAGTATTTTGCAGAAGCTGGGCAAGGTGATATACCCCTGTAATCCTAGGGATTTAGGAGGCTGAGGCAGGAGGATCACAAGTTCAAAGCCAGCCTCAGCAACTTGTCTCAAGATAAAAAAAATAATAATAAAGGTCTGGGCATGTGGCTCAGTGGCTAAGTGCCCCGAGTTTAATCCTTAATGCCAAAAATAAGAAAGTATTTTGCAGATGAGAAACTTGAAGACGTGCAGCCCTCTCTTTGTAGGGAGATGTGTTCAGGGTTCTCTATTGCATCCCCAACCTGCACAGCAGACAATTGCTAAGACACCTGGATGGAGCAAGTGAGTCAATGTGTCACAGCTGATTTTTATGTTCTCTCTGATCCTTTGTCACCAGTACTGTTAAGAAACAATAGCTTTTCATTTTGTAGGTTTATACCACTTCCCTTTTTGTCTACACAGCTTATGCCAATAAATAATAGATAATGCCAAAAATAATTAAAAAGAGGGAAAAGGAATGCCAGAGAAAGAGGAAGACTAATCTAATAACCAGATAATTAATGCTTGCTTAACTAAAATTTTAGTTATACCTTTTGAAACATTCTCACCCAACTCAGAGATAATTAAGACAATCCAGTACTAAGATGATATTTAAATATCAGAGATATTTTTAAAACATTTTAAACTTGTGTATAAGAACATAAATAAAATGTCCTCTCAAATGGAAATCTTGGTAGTTTTCCATACACTGTGAGAAAATTTTTTCTCATAAATGGTTATAAGGATAAAAGAAAGCAAGAAGAAAACACTTCTGTTTTGTCATTACAATTTAGGCATATCCAGTCCAAAAGCCTGAAATCCAAAATCCTCTGAGATCTGAAACTTTTTGAGCATCAATGTAACATCACAAGTCGAAAATTCTGGTGGACCACAGTGAACAAAATTACTTAGAATATTATATTAAAATGAATAAAATTACTTAGAATATTATATAAAATTGCCTCCCGGCTGTGTGCATATGAAACATAAATAAATTTTGTGTTTAGACGTGGATCTCCTCTCCAATATATTTCAAATATTCCAGAATTTTAAAATATCGAAAATCTGAAGCAATCTTTATCTAGTTCCAAGCATTTCAGATAAAGGATACTCAAACAACATTAACTTACCCTACTGATGTTGAACCTGAAAATTGCTGGTTAGTCGAAAGCGGAACTGAAATTCTGGCACTTGGTAAATTTTCACTTAATAAATGAGGATTCTCTTCAGAAATCTGAAAGAAAAAATCTCCAACATCAAATTTATTAGAATTGCCTTACTATTTAACAAAGTTATAGCTATGACAAATATGTTGGAAGCTTACTACCTTACTATGTCTACTTATTCCCTGAGATATATATATACACACACACACATATATATATAAACACATATATGTATATATGTATATATATGTCATATATAGTGTGTATGTGTGTGTATAAATATATATAAATATTTATATATATATGTATATATACATATATATATATATATATAAAATCTCATTTACTCTTCACAGCAAGTGAATCTGTGTTCAGATGAGTAAACTGAGGTGAAGAACTTAAATAATTTGTCAACCCTCAATAATTCCTCAGATGGCTGATGGAATAATTCTAATAGTTTAACTTCTTACTTTGTGTCTCCTTCCTCCTAAGTGTCTGTTTCTGCTGGAAGAAACAGCTAAAGCTATGGGAGTGGAATATCTCCGGACCCATATCTGTATGACCTGAGCAAAAGGGGAATCTTCCTAGAGAAGCTTAGAGTGAGTGGCTCAGAAACTTTTAGTTTGAAAAGAGGAGAGAATTTTTATGTCTTCCAGCACCATCCCCACCCCACCCCCACCCCATTCGCACCAATTACACTGTAGAGGACGTTCCCTGCTCTTGCTATCCATGAAGATGGGTCTGGAGTGGACCCCTGATGTGACCTAAACTGACAAAGCCATCCTACCTGTTGAACAGTTGGGGATGCAGTAAATTCCCCTTCCTTCTCCGATGACCAACTCTGGCCCCTTCCTATCTCACTACTTCTAGGATTCTCATAGGGCTCAATGCTCTGGAAGAAGACCTACGGGTTCCCACTGCCCAGTACTGTTTTACCACTTAGAGCAACCACAAGACTTGTTTCAGGGAATAACTCTCCAACCTAAGAGAATAAATTTAACAAGGTTACCAAGCACTTTTTTTTTTTTGCAGTCTATCCTGGTCTTTTTCAAGTTTGGCAGCTACTTTAACAACAAAACAAAACTCAGGCAGCCCTGGTTCTGGATGTGGGGGTCTCAAAACAATCATGGAGAAGGATGGGGCATTAAAGCCAGTCCTGCCAGAGAGAGGAGTTCTCACCTTATGTTTCATCTTTTCTTTAATTTTGCAGGATTCCGAGGCATTTTGCTCAAATGTTTGTCCTATTTTTTCACAGCTTTGAGCTTGATGAGGTGGCTGTAAAGTAGCAGGTCTTAGAACATGTTCAGAATGCTTTACGGGACCTTAAAAGAATAGAGGTAAAGGGTCAACATATTTTTAGTGAAATTCTCCTTTTTTCCATATTTTAAACTAACATAATGCTGTTTTATTTCCTTTTTAAATATTCATTTATTTATTTTTAGTTTTTGGTGGACACAACATCTTTGTATGCGATGCTGAGGATTGAACCCGGGCGCACGCATGCATGGCGAGCGTGCTACCGCTAGAGCCACATCCCCAGCCCCATAATGCTGTTTTCTAACATCATAATTAAATAAGGGACTAATAATAACTAATGAAAGTCAAAATAGCCAGTGAACTGCCTACTACTCACTCCACGCCTAGCTTTTGCCCCAAAAGCATTCATTTTGACCATGGGACCTGGATTACCAAATATTTTTATCCTTCATATGTTGTCCCTCTGCCTTACCTCCATACATCTCAAAAAACATACATATGTATGCAAATGAAAATAAAGATGGTAAAATGTTTTTGAAATTGAAGCTACATACCTTGTTCCGCACTGTTCACGTCAGCATTCATTTGTACAAGACTTGATGTCATAAAAACATTGTTTTTCTTCACTGTAAGAAAAGATTAAAATCAATAAATTAATTAAGATTAAAATTAAGAAAATTTAAAAAATTTTAAAATCAGTGTCAGAAGGTCATATAAATTTGGGGGTTTAAAAGCCTGGCCTGAATTGACCAGTAGGTGTCGCTATTGGCACTAACTGGCAGTGCCTTTTACTACAGGATAAGTTTTGCTTCGTAATTTTGATTACCCTAAGAGGTACAAATGAAAATTAGATAACTGACAGAAAAGGCAGTCTTATTTAGAATCATAAATTTGAGTACTGTGGAAATTTCTGCAGACTATAAATTCTGAAACAGTAATAAACACTGTGTGCATGAATATACAGCTTGTACAGAAGTTATAAACTATTAGCAAACTCTCCGCTGACACTGATGAAGATAAAGCGAGAGACCAAGATGACCATTATCCTTATTTTTCTCTAAGTGTGTTGGTAGAGTAAGGCTGGCAGTGGCTGCAAGCTTAGAATTTCTGTACATGTCCAAGGGAGGAAATCTCCTAATTGCAAATTGCAGAAACAGCAACTGTAGGGCATTTAATTAATAGAGATGACAAAAAATTTGCTTCTTCAAGATATTATAACATAAATGTTGAGATTGAATTGCTTCTCTAATTCAAAATTTAATGATTGTTTTTGTGATCAACAGTGAAGAGGTCATATAAAATTGCACTATTTTTCTCATTTCCAACATCATCAATATTCTGTACAACATAAAATGGAATGTTGATTGCTGATATCTGTGCTGCCTTAGATGTTATTTGTTTGCATGTGTGTGTGATTTTTTAAAAAATGTAGTAGCTATGTACTTAAGGGATAACTTAAAGCTAGCCCTTTACTTTATTCACAAATACACTAAGATTTGCCTCTGAAATCAGGCCCCCTATTTCTCTTCAAAGTCTGTAGCTTGTCGGCTGGGCTTAGAAGAGGTCTGTTAAGCTTGTGTCTTTTCTGTGTGAGAAAGACTATTGCTCAGTCCTGTTTGGAATTATTAAAGAAGAATATAGATTCACTCCTTTGAACATTCTGTAGTTCCAGGGAACAGAGGGATTAGTTTAAAAAAAAAAAGGTGAATTGTTTTTATTTTTATTTCTTAGTGGCAAACTTGAAAAACTTGTTCAGTAGAAATAAAATCACACAAGAATGGATAGCATCATTTTAATGTGAAGAAAGTACCAATCATTTAAACATATTTTTACTTAGTAAACTATTACAAATTTCAAGGAAAGAGAAGCAATGTTTTAATTACTGAAAAATCTGTAATATAATCACAAATTAAATATTAGAATATGAACTTAAAGCATAATTGAATATTTTGAATTCCATATAAACTATGTAGGTGGAGGATAATAAATAAAGAAAGTTGCTTTTATTTTATAGATCTGCCTTATATAAAATGTTACTACCATAAACATAAAGTTCTAAAAAACATCAAGTTCAAACTTTCTACCACAAATAAACACATATACTGGCTGGATTTGTGGAGTTAGGATTCATAAAGTATACTTCTCTGCAAACCTTGTGAAGGCCTCTATTTGATTTTGTTAGCGTTTTATGAGAGTTGAGAAAGAAACCTTATCGTTAATAAGAATGATCTTGAAAAACCAGAGTGTCGGGCTTGAGGTTCTAGAAGCTCTTTATTACCTGGGCCAGAAGGGGGGAAGGTTGGGAGGTCAGTGAAGGACGAAGATCTCAGGCGCTTCTTAGACAAGGTTGACACTAAAAGCAGATTGCAAACTTGAGTCAATAAGGAAAAGAGGGGCGTTTTTCCTTGTTTTGTTTTTTTGATTTGGATTTTTGCTGTTTGGGAAACATTTTAGATGACCAATTCAGGAAATCTTCATATTTTATCAATAAAAAAAAGAGAAAGCTTCTGGTGGGGATTATAAACTAATTTCCTTTCCCTTCAATAAATATTTATTGAGTGCTGACCATATGTAAGACACTATCAAGCATGAAGATGACCTCAGGGAACTCAAGGTGAGGAGACAGACCAACTGTATAACAAGGCCCAAAGCAATAAGGCCAATTAGGAAGGGATCAGAGAAGTGCTTTGATGTAGAAGACAGACAGACTAAGTCAATGATTTACTTAGAATAAGTTTAATAAAGTTCTTTTTAAAGGGTAGACATCCTTTTATTTAAATAGGTGGTTACTTTCATAAGGGCCATTATCCCTAATTGCAAAACTAACACATGCTCACTACAGAAATTTGGAAACACAACAAAACACAAAGCCAGGGTGAAGATGGGGGACCAAATGACTTGCAATTCCCTTACCTAAGATAACCACTGCTAACACTATGTAGTTTATGACCTTTTGGCATTTTTACCCCCAAAGCTGAAAGAATTCTTAACACATGGATCGTGAGCCACTACACAATCCATGTTATAACTTGTTGTTTTCACATTAACCAGACATTATAAACATTGCCCAATGGATAGGCTTTTAACATTACCCTTTTGGAAAATTTCTCGTTAATTTCACATTCAGAATAAACATAGCCATGAATGGTTGATAGTAAATTTTATACCTACCTCCCTGGGACGGAGAGTCTGCAGTACACAGAGTAAAAGATGAAGACCGTACACGCTTTCTTGAAAAACGATTACAGTCTGCAAGAAATTCAATGGGAAGGGTAACTGCTTGCAAGAATAAATTATCCTCAAACTCTGATATGGGAAGATAAACAGAGTTTGATTAATATGTTTACTCCTAATGCCCAGTTTTAAATATTGGATTGATAGATTGGTGGTTATAGACCCATAAGCATATTATATTAGTAGAAAACAACTAGAAATGAGTGGTTTCAAGAGGAAGTTGTGTGCACACTCTGAGTCTCCACTGAAAAGGTTTTTGGTGGGCCAAGTTGCAGGCAGTGAAGATGACGGGCTTTTAGTTGCTCACATCAGTGTTCACAGGGACCTGCATGAATCTGGCAAAACAAAGACCAATCTACAGTATGTTTAAAAACAAGAAAGTGTATTGTTTCATGCAGTCTGCCACATGCCAAAAGGCTTGTGCTTGCCTGTTTTCCTTATTAATTTTGAAATACAGAATATGAATCATTACCAGGTTCTGCTGCTTCAAAGGGGGTGTCTTCCGCAGGTCTCTGAAAGGACATAAAGCTGCCAGTGAGAGCCGAGTATCTGCTGTTTTAGCATCAAATTTCATGCCACTTTATAAGAATGCTTAGGCTCCAGGGTTATTCAATCCACCACCCCACCACCTACCACACACACACACACCAGACAAAACAACTCACCTCTATTCACCAGGCTTGTAATCAGGAAAAAACCCACAAGTCTAGTACAGTGGTTTCAGATCTCAATGTCTACAGAATCCCTTGTGGGAATGTGTTTAAGATGCATATTTTTGAGGCACCCACTCTCAAGACTCTGACATGGTTGATACTGGATAGGAATCCGCTTTTTTTCATAAAGGATTAGAGGTTGAACTTTTCTTTATTTTGTCTTGTGGGTAGTGCAGCAAATGCCTTGCATAGTAAGAATGAATACCAAGACAATAAAAACAAGCTCAAGTGAGATTGCTGCTGATCTTTTGTTTGTCTTTGAATTGGAATGATTTCAGTGTAATGCTCAAAAAGGCAGATAGAGTCCATAAGGACCCTTTTAAACAAATATCGCAGCTCAGAATTTATTTTATACCCAATTTTAGACCAGGTCAGTGAGGACCCATGTCGAGCCTTAGTCCTCCGAATCTCTTTCAGTTCCTCCACTTTTCAAATCACTCCAGATAAACATTATTTTAGCAAAAGCAGCATCTTATCCACAGCTTCCAGACAAGGTATCCTGTTTCAGCTAAACTAATACCTATAAATCCTATAAATCCCAGTTATATGAATATTCTGGAAGCAGTATTCTGCTACTGGGGAACATAGGGTAAACCTGTGCAGCAACGATGTCTTAAGTTAATTGCTAGATTCTTGAAATACAATTTTCTTTGTCAAAATAAAATAGAAGAAAACAAAGTAAAAACAAAAGTGTCTGATCTTACCTTGAAAGTTCTTTCTCCCTTTTCAAAAACAAATATTGGTTCAGCAATAACAGATTTTTCTGTCAAAGAAAAGGAATGGGCAAGAAATCAAAGCATGCAATGACATTTTATTCGCCACTCAAAAAAGATTTGGAGAAAAAAAAAAACAAAGTACATGTATAAAGGCATGGATTGGCGTGAACATACTTTATATAGAGAGATACGAAAAATTGTGCTCTATATGTGTAATAAGAATTGTAATGCATTCCACCACTATTGTGTATTTATAAAAAATAAAATAAAATAAATTTTAAAAGATTAAAAAAAGATTTAGAGAATTTTTTAAATTTTGTATTTTCCTTGCCTTTGGGCAAATTCAAACTATTTCACTGTACACTTCATATTTATAAATAATTTAACAGTTGATTACAGAAATAATACTTACAGAAAATAAAGGTTGTATGTTTCCATAAGTAAAGAGATAAAACCATTAAAGAACATGATTTAAATGTTTATGGAAAACAGCACAGAATTGCCTGTGTTTAGAACTTCATTAGGACAAAGTGTCTAACATCTTTAAGAATAAAACATTTCAATAGGTAAAAAAAATCTCTTCTGAGAAGAGTTCTTCTGCTTTTTCTTTTAAATTTGAGACAGGGTCCGGCTAAGTCTACTAGAGTTGGATCTTCAGGTGTAAATGATATAGCTATACTGCATTCCATCCTTAAAACGATCCAAAAATAATTCTTATTTCTTTTACTAGAGTTGTCATATAGTAAACTATACTTTCAGTATTTAAATTAAGGATTGGTCTTCCACTGTGTTATAAAGTACATAAAGTTGGTCTTCAACCCTGCCAGTCTTATTAATATTTTGTATTTTCCCATCCTTTAGGTAAGACAATAGAAATTCTTTCATTCTAGGGTATAAGTGCATGATAACAGCTTTAAATATCAGCACTCCAGAATTCTTAGGAAATATTATCTGGGGTTAAAGCTCAGGCTCTGGAGTTGTTAGTCACATTTCTGAATGTAAGTTAGATTGTTAATTGGCTATATACTTTGGGTAAATTGAGTCTGTTCCTGGCAACTTGGGTACCTTGAACAAAAATGAGGGTTCTAGGAGTATCTGCCCCAAGAGTTTATGTGAAGATTAAGTTTTTAGATATAATTACCTTGAATTTTTTAAAAAGTCTTATAGAAAGAATATTAAATATTTGGCTTACCACCAACCTCCATTCTAAAACACACACCTGACGTTGCTAACTGATGACATCACATTCTTAAGGAGTCCAAAGATGACCTCAGAACTGTTCTCAGTATGATAGCCATTACCTATATATTGCCTTGACATATATAAAGCAAGCTCTGAGAAATTTCAAGAAGCTACTAGACCAATCTTTAAATGCAAAAAGAGCTCCTACTCCCTAAATCTTATCCTATAAGAGAGCATCATAAACTCTGACAGACCACCCTTTGTGAATCTCCTGGGGCCACGTGAACTTGGGTACATTTTTTCCAATGACATAAATAAAGTGCTCATTTTTTTTTTCTCCCCTTGTGGTACCAGGTGCTTTACCACATCCCCATTTATTTTTGCTTTTTAAATTTGGAACAGGGTCTTGCCAAATTGCTGAGAGTCTCAGCTAAAATGTTAAGACTGGCTACGAAATTACAATCTTCCTCCTCAGCCATCCAAGTCAATGGGATTACAGGTGTATGCCATCATGTCCAGCAGGTTCCTAATGCAAATGCTTCCCATACTATCAGACCTCAGAACCCCAGCAAAAAAAATGTGCAATAACATCTGGGCATTCTCATAGGAAACTACAATTTAATCCATTGTTCTTTCTCATAGCAAGCTCCTTATCCAGCAATTACATTTGATTTAAACAAGAGATTCTTAGTGAGTTCGAAAGCTATTGTGTGTTTTATTTGTGTGTGTGTGTGTGTGTGTGTGTGTGTGAATGTGCAATATGAATTAGAATAAAAAAGTTGGGCTCTTATGAATTGGGTTTGGGACAGTCATCCTTTAAATAGCGTGACTTGGCCTTAGCCTAGAAAAATAACATGCTGACTTTCCCTTCATTAAACACATGGCTAAAAATATGCAAAAGTAATCTTCGATATCAGCTCATACGTAGTTTGGATGATATATGGTAATATAAGAAGGCCACCAAAAATATTTATTGAGCATATTTTTGTTGTTTTTTGTTTTTGTTTTCCCTAGTCCCGGTTTTTGAACCCAGGGGTGCTTTACTACTAAGCTACATCCCTGTTTCTTTTTATTTTTTTTTTAATTTGAAACAGGGTCTTGTAAACTGTTAAATGTGCCTGCACTGATACAGGATCTGATTGACAGTGTATTAATTTCACTGAAGCCACCTCCTCTTCTTGACACTGCCCAGCACACTGGTTACAAAACAGATGATTTCCACTCTTCCTCTTTCGCTTTGATTCTCTCCCCTTCTCCAGAGTAATTCACTTGGCTCCAAGGACAGTGTCCAAAGTAAGCATTTATTAAGTCATTGGGAACATAGCAGACTTCTTACCTGAACCAGTAGCAGAATTTGAAAATACAAACATGGCTCTTAAAATCATGTTTTATTTGGCCTTTTTTCCTTTCTAATAAGGTCATTAAAGCCATTTATTCAGCAAATAGGCACTGAGGAGTGAATATGTCCAAACATTTTCAAGGTATTTTGAATGAAGCAGTAGAACAGAGATGTCGCCCCTGCCTCGCAGATCTCAAGCAGTGGAAACAGAACTAAGCCATGGCACGACAATTTAAATTCCACGGGGATAAAAGAGAGGTACCAGGTTCCCAGTGAGTGACCAACAGCCTAGCTGTCTCTCTGGGGAATCGTGAGAGGCCATATAAAGGCAAGCGTTGAAGGGTAAGTACAGCGAGCCAGGAAGAGGCCAGCAGAGGGGCGTCCAAGCAGAGGGAGAAGCAAGAAGAACGTCTCTAAGGATGGAGAGAACTTGGCAAATCCAGTAATGACAGGAGCCTGTGTGGCTGATACCCACAGAGGAGAGAGGACAAATGCTACAACATGGGGCTGGAGATGCGGTGGGAGCTTTGTCAGGACTTGAAGTTCTGCCGTGGAGGTTTTCTTGTCTGTTTGTTTCTTTATTTTTAAGAAAAATGGGAAGCCAGTAAGACAGAATTTGCTCTGTTTTTGTTGTTCTTCTTCTTTGCTCATCTGCTTACTGTGTGGAAAATGGATAAGAGGGGATGGGGCTGAGGGAAAGGAAATAAGCAATCTAACTAAAAGGCCGCACCACGTTCTAGAGGGGAGCTGATGTAGTGGTGCTTTGTTTCTTTGCTTAAAATCTTGCATCTGTAATTTTTTTTAAAGGGAAAAGAAATGGCCAACTTCAGGCTACAAAAGCCTAGGTGTACTGTTTATCAATCCCAAAGAAAGAACTTTGAGGACCCAACAGCAAGGGCTTGGGTATTTTATTAGTCACACACTCTTTGGTGGCAGCAGGGGGACAACGTGGAGGGCCACAGCATGCCTTCAACCAGGGGGGAGGCCGGGATAGGTGGTTTCCCTCCGCCATTTCCCTGTTATCACAGTCTTTGGAGCCCTTCTTATCCCATCAGGAAGAACAAGACTCCCTAGGTGCTGACTTGTCTTTATCCCAACAGGAATAACTAAAAGTTTAAAATATAGTCTTTATTATAAGAATTATTAATAAAAGGATGGAAAGAAATACTTCATTTCTCCCTTTTGTTCCCGTACTTTTCTTACTTTTTTTATTTTTTAATATTAGGAAATTTCTTAACTCAGGCAATGGCCCATAAGTAGTCTTAGAAAGCCTTGCTTCTCAAAGTGTGGTCTGGACAGACAGCAGCACTGATGGGGAATTTGTTAGAGATGCAGAATCTCAGGCTCCGCCCCAGACCTTCTGAGTCAGAATCTGCACTCTACAAATTCCCTGGATAAGTTAGGGACGTATTAATATTTTTGAAGGAGTCCTCAAATACATACCCAGGTTTCTGTCAAGTGAGATCAAATCCAGAAAGACAGCAATGGAGACTACTGGGGTTATTTACTAAACCCTAAACCTGCAGGATGTTCTTAGTAATCTGGCAGAAATAGAAACTGATTCTAGTGTTCCCAAATAGAAAATGATTTCTATTCAAACCATATACTATGTCTATTATGATTTAATGTAAGATAAAGCCAAAGGCTACTCTGATGACTTAAAAAGAAATCCCTACAGTAAGGATATTAAAATATCCATATTGATATTGAAATTAACCATTCAGATTTTCCACTTGAAGTCATGAATGATTTCCTCTCAGATGCAAAAGTTTGTTTTCTGTTGTAATAATATGCCTGAAATCTGGCTTTTTAAATGAAAAAATAAATAGAAAATGCCACTGTGTGAGATTATTAAATGTTAATTACAATGTTTTTGCCAAGCAAAAATTTAACCTGGAAGCATAAATTACATCAAAAGCATTTGTCGTAGTTCTAAGATTCTTCAACAAGAATTTGAAACATCTGAATTCTTAAATGTGAAAAATGACATTATCTGTAGGGGAAAAAAAAATAGACAAATCATAGCAGTTGCTCTCAATCTTTGTATGGAACCCAGGGAAGAAAAAAAACAGAGGGTTTGCATCACAATCTTGATTTTTTTTTTTTTTAAAAAAGAAGAAACAAAAGCCCAAAGCTATATTAAAATCTGCTAAAGGTGTTTGGACAAAGGACAAAGTGTAGCCCCAGGAGAAAAAGGGACCTGTGCCAATTCACAAAAGAATCACAAGCACAAGGTATTCTCTACTTATTTCTAGCCATATATGGGGAGCCCTGTAAAAATGCAAAAGGATTGAAATAAACAACAAATTACCCATAAAACTATTTTTTTAAAAATATGTCTTTACAGAGGTGGAGTTGGGACCACCGGGTGACATTCTTAATTGTGATGGGACTCTCTGGGTTCTGTTTTATGAGATACTTTGTACTGACTTGAAGGTAAAATAATCAGGATCCCAGGGGGCAGTTTACACAGCAAGTTTCCAGGTGGACTCAAAGCACTAGCTCTGTTTAAGACCCAATATGAAT